GCCGACTAAGGGACCAAACAAAAAGAAAAGGAAAACTTGCCACAAACCTGGTCAGCGTGATATAGTAGACCAAAACCTCCTTTCTAAGGAGAGGCCTATGTCCAGCAGTGGACTATTAAAGGATGATATATAATAATATTTTCGGACATCAAACTAAGCAGAGCTTGTTCTGTTAAAGCTAGATTGACTGATTGAATACTTGTCTGCTTTTTTGTAAATACATATTATACATAGAAAACACCCAAATTCCGAAACAAATATTTGCAGATCATACAAAAATTTGACCTGTGAATCAAACCCCAGACCTCAGCACAGCAGTCGCATACCTGGGTCCTATACAATCACTGCACCACCGAAGCCCTCAATAGGACGGCAATACACGTATTGTGTCCATTGAGTCGTAGGTTTCCATGGGAAGCCGACGTGATACCATCAGGTATCACGTCGGCTCGTTAGCCCTTCATTAAATAAAAATAAATAGAATAGAATAGATTTTTCTTGATCTAGTCTACCTTCCTTGATAATGGAAGAAACGTAGCTATATTTATCCTAGCCAGTACTAATATAACCACATTATGATTATGTATATATTATATATGTATATTTGTGATCAAAATGATCATTTTGTTTCGAGGAGCAGCTCTAAGAAATATATGTGGGATGGGAGGGACAACACATAAACAACCTAAACAGTGTAATTATCATACTCTCTGATTAAGCCGAAGAAATTGATTTGAATATGAAGTCCGTAGTAAATGTCGATATGGTCCTTCGATACACCAATTTAAACTTCCCTATAAGCGGTTATCAAAACGCAATCAAATATCCGGATAGTCCTAAACCGGTGACCGGAATATCAAAACTTTTAATAGCTCTTCAACTTGAAATCTCATCTTTGCACTGCCGCCTGACGTAATTACCTAAGTCTTTTAGCAATAAAATTGCTCATAAAGACCATTTTATAATAGGATCATAAAACTGTTTGAATAGGATAAGGGTGAAGCCTTAAGGTACTTTTTCTAATTTTACGATTTCGCTTTTCTGGATAGCTGAAGGGCAATTATTCCTTTGTATACTGGGGAGATGCCGTATAATAAATCACTAGGTCAAGAACCACGAAGAACCACAGGTAATTTTGACAGGCCAGTCTTTTACGAAATACCAGTATGGTCCCTCAGTACTCAAGCACGTGGATCAGTTAGGTTTAATCATGCTTCTGTGACTTCATCAAATCGTCTATATGTAAATATGTACTTTGATACATACACATTAAGTATGTATATGTATTAAGTATACACATTAAGTAATTGTATAGTATATATGCATTCACCAGCATGCGATCATTTTTTGTAAGCTGCAGGACGAGTAATTACCAAGTAGTTTGCGTAATTTTAACGAGATGGCGCTGTATATTCTCGCTTTAACTTTACGTCACTTTTAACTTATTCAAAGTATATTTATGACGTATTAATAATTTAATACTCTATGTGTAAATAATAACACATAAATTATTATTTTATGCTTATCAATTGTTGTGAATTTAAGTGATATGACAAAATCATTAAGAAGAAGAAGAAGAAGAAAAGAAAGAAAACATATTTTATTTATAAAACATACGACACCTTTAGTACATCTAATACTCAGTCAGAACAAAAAAGAAACAGTTCAGTTAATTTGATTATAAAGAGAGAAATACAAATTATTACAGAAAAGAAGCATGGACTTCTTTCAAATGTCAACATCCAACAGATAGCACTGAAGCACATAAGATAAACTTTGAGAATTATAACATCAATAGTATGTTTAAAGATACTTTAAAAAAATGTCTCGGAGATTTTTTTATGACAAATTCATAATTCAAATATCAAAACACCCAAGTACAGGCTGCTACCAAAAACAAATCATTCTCCTGTCATTTATAATAAAACCTTTTTTATTCGATACCTTGGCTACCGTCATTAAAGCATGTATTCCATCAGTCCCCTGTCGCGCATAAACAATAGATATAAAACGAGCCAAGTGGAACACCCCTAGCTGCGGACTCAGCTTGTCATGCCTGTCATTTTATACAGGGGATTTGGTTTTGAATATTTTCATGTAAACTGATGGATGTAAATCTTTGATTTCTTTGTCTGTAATATTTTTGCAAAATGAATTTTGATATTTTGTCACTTCCCTTAGAAATTATATAATCAACAGCCTTTAATAGTCCACCCTGGACATAGAGCTCTCGGTTTGGTCTACTATACCACGCTGGCCAGACGGGTTGGTATAGGGTTTGTTTTAAGGTTTCCTTCTCTCAGCAGTGTTGTTGTCCTACGTAGTTTGCTTCCTCAGTTGGCTTTTAAGATACCCACGAGATAAATAGGGGTGGTGACACATTGTAGAAGCCTATGTCCAGCAGTGGACTGTTAAGGGCTGATGATGATAATGATGGGGACACTCCGTATGTACTAGGCGGGAAAAGAACATGAGAACAGTCAGCCTCATTAACCTCGAGACCACCACAAGTACTGAGATTACTATACTAGCCTAACAGTAATAAATGTCTTTATCCGCGCATATAAACAAATCTTACAAAGCATATTTATGGAATCTGTGGCATGCTCCCACGGCCATAGCACCGGTAGATGAAAACAAAAACTTACACTAAGTCCCGGCTAAATAAGATTGTCAATGGTGCTAATTCTGTTCTTCTGAACTTTCTTGATTCTGTTGAACTTTTTGTCCTGTCAAATATTACGTTTTCAGAATAGGTAACTTTGTTCGACAGGACTAATCAAATTTTTTGTGATATTTTAGTTTAGTTTAGAGAGTTTCCGAATAACAGAATTAGCACCATTATCAATCTTTGCCAGTTGACAAAAGCTGCTTTGACTTGCTTGCTTACAGGCGCAAGAGATTTAGAAATATCAATACGACACAAAGTCTTCTACTGTTTCCACTAACATACTATTTATAAAGAACGATTAAGTAAATATTTAACAAAATATATTAATAAGAAAAACAACAGCCTGTTAATAGAAGCCCATTTAGTGCGTCAGTAGTTGAGTTGTTGGCCGATGCAAATCAATCACTGGCCTTATCCGACACCTGATGCAGTCTGTCCGTGATATGTACCTACATACGTATCCTATGATAGGTTGATTTCAATTTCATTCACAAATCTCGTAAAATTCTCGTATCTTCAATCACAATCACAATGAAATTCAAATGTCTTAGATCTAATATAATATAATAGTAGGTAGTCACTTAAAATAATAGTATTGCTAACTCATTCATTTAATATTTTTTATACCATAGGTGGCAAACTAGCTGATGGGTCATCCGGTGGTAACTACAACTGTCCATGACTTTGAGTCATCCATGTGGTGGCGGATTAAGAATACGGAGGGTCACCACTCTTGTTCATCCCGTGGGAGTCGTTAGAGCCGACTAATTGAGCAAACTGCAAAAGCAGGACAACAGCACTGCAAAGAAAATGAAAACTTCACACAAACCCTATACCAACCCGTCTGGCTGGCGTGGTATAGTAAGCCAAAACCTAATTTCTAAGGAGAGGCCTATGCCCAACAGTGGACTATCAAAGGCCGTTGATGTATGATCTGATGTGAGTAAACCCCTGAAGTGTCAGGGTGAGGTCCGATTTTCTAATCTACTGTTAATAGATAAAGTATGATATAGGTATATTTAAACGTTTTAGCTATAGTAATGACCGTATCAACCACATTACCTTCACGACATGTATAAAGTGTAACGTTCCTAAAAAGAACGAACGAATTATCTTTCAAATACTGAACAATAAAGAAAAGCAGTTAATAAGGTAATGTCACGAACCACAATAGAGGGTAAGCTTGAAAGAGTATTAAATTAGTGTAGATGCGACGAACTGAAAGCATTAAAAAAACCGCAAACATAAAAAGAATTGGTTTTCTTATTAGTATAACATCCACTTTTTTTTAAACAAAGAATACCAGTAGGTAACGTACGTCAATAGTGCATCGATTTTGCATTTCGAACCAGCTGCCACTTGAGTACACGTCCGACGACTTAGCCATTAGGCTGTCGCTATATCGCAGGTAACAAATTGTTCTACGATTTGCATGTTAGAGAAATTATTATTACGCACCATAACTACAAAGAAGAAACATACTTCAGCTTTTGATATACTAGCTTTAGCCCGCGGCTCCGCGTGTATATCAGTTATCGCGGTAAACAGTATCCTAAGTTCTTTCTCACGAATCAAAGTATCTCCATGCCAAATATCATTAAAATCGGTACAGGGCTTTAGCCGTAAAAGCGTAACAGACAGACAGAGTTACTTTCGCATTGTATTTTCGGCTACTGGTACCTGGAGACAGCATGCGGTTTTTTGTCGGTTCGAGTCCGACATAATCACCCACTGATGGGTGGTATCCGAGGGGAGTTCCGCACAGAAATAATAATAATAATAATATAAAAAACTGCATCCCTTTTAGGTAAAATACCATTAACCATCCGTATTTCCATAATCTATATCCACATAACGTTAGTTTATTTTTGCTTTATTGGCATTTCCTAACAATATACCGTCGCGCCGTTATGGTGGCGTGAGCAAGCACTATTTGTTAACGGACGGACATCAGGCTATCGCAAATACCGTTAAAAACGAAGATTCATTGAGTTTAAATTGAGAACCAATAATGAATATGGACAATAATACTCGTTTAGTTATTGGTAGAAGTAAAAATCGTCGCAAACTCATTTATGGGTTTTATTATGATGTAGAGGTCGTAAACGAATAGACGGGTCACCTCTTGGTAAGTGAGTACCGCCACACCATTAACACCTGCAACTAAGAATCACAAGTGTGTTGCCACCTTTTAAGTCCCCAGAATAAAGGATAGTGGGGGGGGAGGGTTCTCCAATAACATTGGAGATATTGAGGGAACTGTTAGGATAGTACATTAGAAAAAGTTTTCTTTAACGTCGTACAAATTTTATAAATGTTTACGATTTAATTAGAACACAAGCAAATCCTTCAAAGCGTTGTCACATATCTTCGGCGTCCGTTGAGGGCCGCGCAATTTGTTCATCAGCTCAAATGCTGGTTTCAGTTCATCTCGTGTTACACCCTGTAGTATAAAATGGTCATACATACAAAATAATTATATTGTTAAATAAATATAAGGTCGTTCCATAGTTACACTGTTAAAAAACGTTTTTGTAAATACCTGTTCTCTACGGTAAATAACTGCAGCGATCATTCTTCCCCACAGCATTTGCAACAAAAATGGTGGTCTCCCTTCTACTTCTAATAGATGCAGTTGCATCATAGCATCGTGTTTAAGTGTTTTATCTATAAGAAATACGTAATTACATCCTACTAACTATCAAACGTCTAGTTAAATGACTACGTTTGCAGTATATTTATTTATATTAAGATACTGATAAAGTTTGAACCTGAATATAAAAAGCGTTTGCAATAAACCGCAGGCCAGAAATGTGAGATGAAGGAATCTTCCTTATCCTTGTGTCTAGAAGCCCTTATGCTAGATTTAGAATCAGTATTAAGGTTTACATCAACTGTTCAAATAAACTAATGCTAACTTACATTTCTTTTTAAATTAAAAAATAAAAATAGTAGTACTTACGAACGTCATTCTTCCCTATGTCCATGGAGATCACTTGTTGGAAGCATCCTTTGATTCCATCGACAGATTTAGACCACACATCGAAAGGACTTTCAGAGTGGTACCTTTGACGTACTATGATACCCCCCGCATCGTGCTGTAGAAACGGTTTTGGTGATTCTACGGTTTTATTGATAAGCCATCTCAGACCAGCCTAAAAATAATACATATCCATAATATATTTTTGATTTAGGTTTTGATTATTTCATTACATTACATATATATACAGAAGGCTAGTTTAAGATATAATATGTATCTATCCATACTTGTACAGTATAAATGTTAAAGTGAGTATGTTTGTTTGTACACTTTCATGCCTAAACCACCAAGCCGATTAAAAAAATTCTTTCACCAAGCCAAAGTTACATTATCAACAAGTAACATAGGTTACTTTTAACTCTGATAACCAACATACACGCGGGCAGAGCCGTGGGCAATAGCTAATAATGTATTAAAATAAAAACAATAAACATTATGTTTTAAATTCACCTTGAAACGTCTTCATTGACATCCTAATTACATAGTTGGAGGCACACAGACAGAGGTAAATCATAGCAAAATTTTTGATAATTAAAGTAGAATTCAAGTATTTGAAAGTGATTTCTATAGAAAAAAGATAAACTTCGGAACGCACAAAATACACCACTATTGTCAAACTATTATTGAGCCCCTTAACATTTAGTAACCTAATTAATTGAACATAAAACTCTTCAATTAGCATCACATCCCATAAAACAAATTCTCACCTCATCCGTTTCACTGATTTCAATTTTGTAACATGTCACCTGCCTCTCAGGAAACATTTTCTCCGGTATAATCGCCACTACGTGCCATGTTCCAATCACATCCTTCAAGATTAAATTGGCCTGGAACCCACCGCAATTGGTACTGTTAGCTACGAACTCTGAATTGACTAGGGTAATAAGGAATAAGACGATGTAGTAAGGAGTCATGATGTTGAGATGCTAAGGGGTCGAGTGCCTTTTCGTACTGATGCCTAAAATCAGGATTCTCAGAAAATATATAGAAGAATTTAGAATATATAGACAGTGCAAGATTTTTTTAAACATTTAGTTGGAATACAAATCTATCTATATATATATATATAAGAGATTTCCACGTATATAGTCACTCATCACGATATCTCTGGAACCATTAGAGCTAAAGACTTGAAATTTGGTAGGAATATTCTTTTCACCGAGTAGAGGTCAGCTAAGAACGGATTTTAAGAAATTCAAAAAAATATATATTTAAATAATGTAAATAGCAAAACAACGTTTGCAGGGTCAGCTAGTACTCTATATATTGTTCTTCTTCTTCTTTTTAAAAACAACTCCCGCATTAGGAATATATCCTGTGTCGCGGGGGACTTTACAAATATACATGAAACGGACACAAAGAACACCTAGACTCAGAACAACAATTTGTAGATCACACAAAGTGTCGTCCGCTTAAACAACTACGCCATCCGTGCAGTTGCTGCAAATGCTTTCAAATCTAATTTAAGAGGTTTTACCGCAGTCGTTGCTCCAAGTTAACTTATACTTGATGACTTATATCGTTTAACACAACAAAATTTCCATCCTCATCACTTAGATAATTGGCACTCCACCGCTTGGTTGGTTGGTTGCTCCACCCTGGTATGATCGAGCGTGTTTCCACAAATAAATCCTTGATGTGAAGAGCATATGATTTTATTTTATCCTTAGTGGTATAAACGTATAAATATTTTGTTTCGTAACCCGATTATTTAATTCTAATATCATAAAGTCATACAAAACTTTTTTTTACATACTTGTATTTTCTATACATTTCTTAGCTCTATGAAGATGAAGTGTGATAAGTCTGTAGGCGTTAATTTTACAAGTAATAATTGGATAATCTCTTTATGTCCATTTGTCTGACACATATGTGAATAGTTATTTAATTGTATCCGGTGAGACGAGTGATGATTGCGACTTGCCCTAATTTTATCGAGTTTCCAGAATAATGTACAGGAGTAGTTTAATCTAGTTTTTGTTGACTGCACGGATGGTGAAGTGGTTTAAGCGGTTGCCATGCCGCTTCCTACTACGCCGAATATTGTGGGTTCAAACCCCACATGGGACGACACTTGTGATCCACAAATTGTTGTTCTGATTCTTTGTGTCCGTTTCATGTATGGTTGTAAAGTCCCCCGCGACACATGATATATTCCTAATGTTGATTAAACCAAATTGGAGTTGTCTTTTTAAAAAACAAATCAAAACAACTTATTTTTGGCAGAAACCTACTTTATTAATAATGAAGTGAAGTACTTTATTAATACTGTGAGTCATACTAAGAGACAGTCAGCAATGAAAATCGATTAAGAAGCTCTAATACAAAATCGTCATCGCAAAACATGAATCATATATGTTATTGTTTGGAATAATATAAGAAAGGCTAGCAAACAAATTGCAATAAAAAATCAATTTCCGCAATACCATGGAAGAGCTATGCTTCAGCAAAGATGGGCCGGCTTAACCGGAGTAAATACTACAGCCACACAGGAAACCTATGTTTAGCATATTTTTTTTACCTTAACCGAGTAAGTGAGACTATCGGCAGCATAACCTCGCTCGCCCCACCAGCAGTCCACCCCCTAATTCTGGAGAGGGAGGAACGCTCTTGTATCTCTTGAGTTGAGGGTGTCACTCACCAACAAGTGAGCTTTCTGCTCTGCTGCATTTGCCCTCGATTACATGAGAAAAATTAAGAACAAAATATATTTATAGGTTCCTTTCGAATTTGTTTGATATTTTGTAAACATACGATAAGCTCTAAATAAACAGATAAAAAAACTTACTGCTACTGTTCGTGATACAAGTAGTATCTACACCTGACACGTCATAAATACGCTTATTCTTGTTACTTTTACCATATATAATAGTAACAGACGGCATATTTTAAATATAAACCAAAATTCATTGTTCAAATCTCCATTTTCTCCATTGAAAACATGTTAAGAAGTATCCGGGTTCCCATACAAAAACAGGACGATTGTTTAAAAAGTCAAAACCGACATAGATTTAGTTGAACAAAGGCAGTAAAAACGGTTTATAGACTTGTTATTGCTGTCCCAACGGACATTGATGGTGGTACAAGTTAAGGAAGTTGAGCGTTTTTTGACTTTGAATACGCAGATACTGCATTCGACAAGCCAACAAGGAACGAAGATGATAAATTTTAATTCAGAACTGGCACATTATATATCTATATCTGTCTACTTCTTGAAAATTTCCTTTCCTTTACTTTTCCTTTGATTTAAAGGGATGTCACTGCGTTTGTTGCATAAACAAAACTTCTTAAGTGTAAAATAATATTTACATGTTCCATAGATGTAAATATTATTTTTACAAATTTTAATTAATAGAGATCTTTTAATCTCTAAACACTTGATGAGCCTAAACAAAAATAAAGGCTCATAAATTATTTTGACAAAGGATCTTGTCAATAACCTAAAATGCGAATATTCAATATTAAATTGACTACAGATTGTAACTTAGACCACACTCAAGCACCGAATCGGTGGAAACAGATTTTAATGTATCCTATGAAAATCTTCATTCAAAAGCTTTCTCCCTTTGAATTTTAATATAAATCTTAAATCGGGACTTTATTAGCGTTGGACGAGGACCAATAAATGGGAATATTATGTATTCTTGTGAACAATAGATATTTACTGTAATTCATGGCGTTCTTTAAGAGTATGACTGTACCGTGATTGGGAGGGGGGTGGGGACTCAAAGAGTGGCAATGAACTTGTGACTCCTGAGTTGCAGGCGTCTATGTGTTCCTAGACAAGTTTCAGATGCAAAGTGGATTCTACAATACGGTGGTTCTGTTTTATCAATGTTTTTTTTTAAGACAGACAAACGAACAGCCAGACTACTTGAAAATAAGAAGTGACTACCACGTCACGAGGATGTTACCAGCCTCAGAGGTAGAAGTACGCCCTCTTATTAAAAGCTTCAAGTTCACAGTGGTGAAGTGCCGAATATCCAAGTTACGAGGATAGAAATGTTGCCTCAGAATAATACCAAATCTTTGAATAAAGACTTTTGTGAGTTGTTTTATATCAATTGTATATGTCGGGGATACCGTATTAGTTTCCGACCCGACGACGGGGGACCTCTATCAAGCTGTGAAGCGTCCTGCCTCGTCGATTGTAAAATTTTAAAATGTTTTAGCTTGGTTTTTAAAATAAGAAACTAACTGGCCCGTTGACCTAGTGTTGAGTGATCCTGGCTACTAAGGTAGGGGTCGTGGGTTCGATTCCCACGCAGGACAAATAATTATGGGATGAGCACGATCAATTGTTTCGTATTTGTATGTAATTTATCAATAATATGTATGTATTTAGAAATTTATAAGTATGTCTAATCCCAAGCTAGGCAGAGCTTGTACCTCTGCCTAGTTTGGGATTAGACGGCCGTATTGAGCAGACTCCTGATAAACATACTTATACCTATACATTGGCCATGTGTGAAATTGTTATTATTATTCTCTTTATTAAATTATATATACAAATTGATTACATTTTTTAATATGTTACAAAAGATAAAAAGACATTTAAAAATTTAGAAAATAGTAGACCACAGACATCGGGTACAGGGACCAAGACACCGATGGTTAGGACTCCAAATACATACCTCTTCACTACACGAGCCGTGTCAAGGGGGACCGCCTTCTGAATGCTATAGTCACTACATCATTATAATAAAATATTAAAGCTCAAAGTATAAAGTAGGTAACTCTAAGTAAATCCTAATTCTACCAAATAACTGATATTGTAAGAGCAAAAACAAGTTTGCCTTGTTTGTTTGAAACAGTTTAACACCTGAAATATTCAACAGATTATATATTTCTATAGTTACAGAAATACTCATACATATTTCTATAGTTACAGAAATGATCTTAAGATGCCTTTAATTCTGGGAAAAAAAATCCTTTTCCCAAGAGATAGCAAAATAATACTGCGGGTATAACGAAGTATTAAATTATGAAGTCCCATCAGCCTTTACTAATCCACTGCTGGGCATAAGCCTCTAATTAGAAAGGAGATTTTGGCCTACTATACCACGCTGGCCAGACGGGTTGGTATAGGGTTTGTGTCAAGTTTTCCTTCTCTCTGCAGTGCTGTTGTCCTGCTTAGTTTTTTCCCTTAGTCGGCTCTTACGACACCCACGGGATGAATAGGGGTGGTGACACTCTGTGTTTTTAATCCATCACCACACGGACATTAAGTAAATTATGAAATATTAAAATATAATAACGATCACAGCTGGTCTCCCAATAAAATCGGAGCCTTAGCCAAGAGTGCATGTTTATAACCTCCGTGATGATTCGCAGTTAATGAGACGCGAACTTTAAATCCTTTATCGTCGGAGTAACAGCTCGTGAAAGGGTAAGATTAATTACTGACATTTTTGTTTCACAACTAAAATATTTAATAAGGCCAGTGGGGTTTGAGTGACATTTTATGAAAGCAAAATCATCATATTATTATTTTAGAGAGTCTTAGACTAAAAAGTTATTATGAAAGATACACGACTGCCTCGGTGGTGCAGTGGTAACGTTTGCGACTCCTGTGCTGAGGGCTCGAGTTCGATTCCCGGGGCGGATAATATGTTTGTATGATTTGCAAATATTTGTTTCGGAGTTTGGGTTTTTTCTATGTATAATATGTAAGTATTTCTATGTATAATGTGTAAGTATTCTATCAGTCAATCTAGTTTTCATAGTACAAGCTCTGCTTAGTTTAAACCAGGTGGCGTTGTGTATAATAATAAATAATATTGCTGAGTATTGACACCGATGAGACAGGTCGCTTCACTTAATACAGAGTATCTATTTTTTTTCTCGAGCTGACATCCCCTTGGATACCCCCCACCGTGATGGGGGGTATCCGAGGGGCAGGGTCCCTTATACC